AAAAAAAAAAAAAAAAAAGAACTGGCTAGCCCCTCAGGCCTGGGGATAATTTTATTTTCGCCCCTCCCGAATGCTGAGTGAATGTTGAGTTTTACTGTCTAATTTACTTTGTGCACATTTCTTTTTGGTATTGTCCTACACTCCCCTTCCTTTTTTTGATTGTAAGCCGCCCTGAGTCCCCTCAGGGAAAAGGGCGGCCTATAAATAAATAAATCTAAATCTAAATCTAAATTCCAACACAGGGCTCAGGACCACCATATATTACTCCTAACAGACAATACCATGACCAAGGCACACATAAACAGGCAGGGGGGAACACGTTCCTGGCATCTGATGCAGGAGTCCAACCTGTTGTGATGGTGGGCGGAATCTCACCTGTCATCTCTCAGGACAGAGCACATCTCAGGGCCTCCAACGTCCAGGCAGACTGGCTGAGCCAGACCAGGATAGATCAGGTGGAGTGGAGCATCCAACCAAACCTCTTCCATCAACCGACACTACGATTTGGTCTCCCAGTCCTAGACCTGTTTGCAACGGCAGACAACAATCAGGTACCCAGGTATTACTCGCGGTTCATGGATCCCATGGCAGAAAGAGTAGACACCCTCAGGTGCCATTGGCCCAAAGTTCTCCTGTACAAATTTCCGCCCCTTCCCCTCATTCAGAGAGTAATTCAGAAAATGTTGGAGCAGGAGGCAGAACTATTGCTGCTAGCGCTGGATTGGCCATGCAGACCTTGGTATGCCAATCTAGTGACTCTGTCAATCTCCACTCCATGGCACATCCAACGGTCTCTCCTGTCTCTATACCAAGGGTCAGTTTGTCATCCCGACCCCGAGTGGCTACAATTAACCACATTGCGATTGAGCGGCAAGCCTTAACAGCCGATAACATGTCCCTCAACGTCATTGCTACTATTCAGGCATCACGCAGAAGCTCTACTAACTGCATTTACAATGCCACCTGCAGGGCATTCGCACTGTGGTGTACCAACAAGACTATTGACCCACTTAAAGCATCCATTCCACAGATATTGGACTTCTTACAGAGGGGGCTTGATCAGGGTCTTATCCCTAATATGTTATGCCAACAGGTGGCGCTTTGGCTTCTGTCCTAGACGGTCTTGCCTCTGACCATCTACCTTCTCATTCCTTGATCCAGAGATTTCTCCATGGAGTATCCAACCTGCGTCCTCTTGCCATCCATAGGTATCCGACTTGGGACTTGCCTCGTGTCCTAGAGGCTCTGACTTCCTCGCCCTTTGAACCTATGAGATCCACTTCTTTGAAACTGTTGTCCTTTAAGATGTTGTTTTTGGTGGCTATAACATCTGCCAGTCATATTTCTGATTTGGCTGCCCTTTCAGTCAGGCATGACTTATGCGTGTTCCATCCAGACCGAGTCGTTTTAAGACTGGACCCGACATTCATACCAAAGATGAATAGCTGCTTCCACAGAGGTCAAGAGTTAACCTTGCCTGATTTCTGCCCGTTTCCTTGACATGAGAAGGAGCGTTAAGTGGCACACTCTTGACATACGAAGTGCCCTCAAGATCTACATCGACCACACCGCTTCGTTCTGTAACTCGGAAGCTCTCTTCGTATCTTTTCGCCGGGCCTCCTTGGGTAATAAGGCTTTGAGTCTGGGGCGGTGGATCAGAGCCTGTATTAAACTGTCTTATGAACGTCAGTCCTTGCAGGTTCCTCTAAACTTTACAGCTCATTCTACACGTAGTGCTATGACAACTGCTGCTTGGTCTACACAAGCCACATTGGAAGAAGTCTGCCGGGCAGCCACATGGCAATCCTCCATGGTCTTCATATGTCATTATAAGTTAGACAAGTATGCATCGGCTGATGCAGCTCTTGGGCGCAGGGTGATGCAACAAGTGCTTTTGCCTTAACAGACTTTCTTTAGTATCCTCACCCTAGTGGGCAGCCCAGTCTTTTGTATGTCCTAGTCTGGCTGCTGTCTCCATGATCACAGAAGAATGGGCATTGGTTCTTACCTGATATGCTCATTCTCTGTTCAAGTGGAGACAGCAGCCAGCCCCACCCTGGGGTACGTCATGCAATTCAGAACTTTTTTGTGCGGAGAGAGAGAAAAAAAAAACAGAGGACATGGGCTTGACACATGTATGTTTTTGCTCTCAGTCCAATTGGTTACTGGACGGAGGAAACCCAGTCTGGCTGCTGTCTCCACTTCAACAGAGAATGAACGTATCAGGTAAGAACCAATGCCCATTCTCTCCCTCAGGCTTGCTCCACAGAGGCCTCTTCAATCTTATCCCTTTCTCTCCCTCAGTCTAACTCATTAGCATCAGAGCATTTTCCCTAACCCTAATGTCCACGTTGCAATTGGAACAGAGTTCTTTTCAGGTGGGGAAGGGGAATAGAATGCCTAACTCCTTAGCATCAGAGCATTTAATAATAATATAAAAAATATTAATGATCTGATGGTCATTTTAAAAAAAATCCTTTCTTAGCGAGCACGTAGAGGCCAAGAGGAACATACATGACAAATTTCAAGTTTGTGGGCTTTACAGTTCTGGAGATTTTCTGATGCTGCATGAATGACATTTCTCTTTTATTTTATTTTTTCATTTATATATATAACATACACACACACACACACACACACACACACACACACAAACACCGTTTCCCTAAAAATAAGCCCTCCCCGAATAATAAGTCCTCCCCGAAAATATTGCAACACAGAAGCAGCCATGAGGTGACCACGCTCGCCACCTACTGCACCTCAAAAATAATAAGACCTCCCCAACCAAGTGCTTATTTCAGGGGTAAAAAGAAAATAAGACCCTGTCTTATTTTTGGGGAAACACGGTATATATTTTAAGAAATTAATATTTCCATTTTCATGTCATATTTTTGCATAAAACTCAATTCTTATATTTTTGCAAATTTATAGTCAATCTTTAAAAATTAATAAAGCAAGTAAAGCTGAATAATAAGGAGAAATCTTTCCACTTGGATTTGTGTAATATGGACTTGTGTAAAAAAGAAGAGTGATGTTCTAATTTTCATTATTTTAGCTCCCCTTATGTATACTATGGGTATACCATACATACAATTATATGTAAGTACAAGCCACAAAAATTCCTCTCATCTTATCTGATTACAATAAAATTATTCCAAGAATTCATAATCAAACCTCAAATTTATTTTTTTAGAATCATCAACCTCCAAATCAATTTTTCATTGAACAGCTGAGGTGACAAATAACCATCAATTCAGATTTTGGAGAGACCAAAATAGTTCTCTGGGTCACACAATCAGAATTATACTATACCAAGAAAATCAAACCCCCAATTAAACCTCTTTCCAAGTAGACTTTCAACAGTACCTACGTTTATTTTTCAATTATATTACTCCTCTTTGTTCCTTCACAGTTCCTCCTTAAAGGGAACAATAAAATATTTTATGAAATTTAATATGCCAGCTCCATTTTCAGAATCAAAAGAATTTCCATCTTTAAAAAGCAGCTGATTCATAAAACAATATAAATCACTTATTTTTTCCCCAATATTTTAAGAGCTGACTTTCGGCTCTTACTCAATTTTCAACCACAATTGAGACCAGAATTTATGTTGTTAAGTGAACTCAATTTTGCGATTTTTTTTTGCTAGGGTGAATAGTTTCCCCCATTGATTTTTTTGTGTTAGAGAAGTTCCTAATATGTGACCCTAATATGCTGCAAATTTTGTAAATGGATACTAGTCACAAGCACTCAAATTTTCAACACTTGACTGTGGGGATGCTGCATTGATTGTGTGAGGATCTTTTGTAAGTCACTTTTTTCACTGTCAATATGAATGGTTGTAAATTGAGGACTCACTATATTTGATATAGCATATCTGGTATTTGATAGAGTATCTGATATAGACTAAGATTCAGAGATCTACAAAAAATGAAAGTGCTATCTCAAGTGGTATCTTTTCTTAGAATTTTTATATGATGCAAACACTTCTAAAGAGACTGATTAATTTTGTTACATAAGTAGTATGTTTAAACTGTTTCAAATAGCTCAGTGCTGTATATTTGGGGGAGGGGGGAAGTGTCCCAGAAATTTAGTTCTAGTTCAGTAAGCAAAGGACTGCAGTCTAATTTAATGAAAGAAACAATCTTCACTATTCCTGCTTTCACAAATTCTCAAAATATTTCTACTTTTAAAAGGAACTCACGTTTAATTCTATTATCCACAGGAAGGTTATAAACAACAAGTCAAATGTGACAAATAAACAGAATGTTCTTCGAACATCGGAAATGCCTTTTCCCCCCCGGGTTTCATAGGGCTCAACTCTTGGCATTAGCTGTGTTGGGTTGATGGAATGAACATCCCTTAAAGAAGGATGAGAACCCAGATTGCTGCCTTGGGCGTTTTCTTGATCGCCTGAAATCCAACTCATCCTGTGTTTGGTTACAGCAGCTTTGTTTCAGCTTCAACATTACTACCAGATTAATCCATTTTGAAGATTTCTCTACAAAAGAAATGCCACAATTAATCATATTAGTCTATTCTTTACTAATAAAATTTGATTATGCAATATATACATCCCAAAACCAATGTGTTCTAGAAGTTTAGTCTTTGGCCTTAAATTTTCTCAGCATGGCAAAAAAAGGTTGAGGGCTCTTGATTGAAAATAAGTTGATGTAACTAATAAACCATGATTGTTCTCTCCACATTACTCCAGAGTAAGTCAAATATTCCTAATACAACAAAGTGGGTAGGACAAATTATGCTGTTATCATCTTAAGTAAAGAGAGTTCATTTCTCTTTTCAAACTAAAGATAGAAAATATAAATATTAAAAAGTTTAATATATTTAGGTTTCCAATTAATAATTTATTTTGGTATATTTTGGAAAATGAGATGGATGGCATATAAACTTAATAACTAAATTAATTTCAAGCTGTTTTCTTATTTCTAAGGTTCAAATCCAATCCAAACTCTGATATTGGCAAGTTAAATCATTTTTTATATTTAAAAATAAACTCACTGATCTCTTTTCCAAAGCAACATAGAATTTACATAAGTGACTCACATAAGTTTATTTATTAGCCATAGATTCATTTTCCCTATTATTAGAGATTATATTGTACAAGTAGAATTTATTGAAATTTTGAGGACATGGCTGTGCCAGCTCAATGAGTTTGGTATTTTGGGAGTGATTAATGAAGTAGATGTCACTCTGTCTCCTCCCTTGCACACTTTACACCCTCACTCTCCATCCTGGTTAATTTTATTTTAATTGAATTTTAAATTTATGATCCTTACTTATTGTTTTAATGTTTTATTATGCATTTTAATTGAATATCTTAAGCCACTTAACAAGCTGAGTGGCATATAAGACCCAAGGTGGCGCAGTGGTTAAATGCAGCACTGCAGGCTACTTCAGCTG